ACCGCTGCAACAAGCAGAGGGTGCATGGAGGCCTCTGGTTCCCTGAAGGAGAAGAAAACTTCTCAAATGTATATCCCTGAACATGCCATTGTAGTTGGAGTATGTTTTACCTCCAACAAAACTAAACACTAAACACTTCCCTTCATTTTTCCCTTTTTTTCTTTTTTTTTCTTATCTTTTCTACAAATCATTAAATACTTTGCAATTCCTAGCAAAATTAAGTCGTGGCTGCCAATGAGTCTGTCTCAAACTCCCCTAAGCTATAATCATCCACCCTTCGGTTTTAACCATAGCCCAGAAACTTTCTTTTTTCCTTCATATATCTGCAAACCCTCAATACAAATACTTCCATGAAAATTAGGAAATTTTCATAATATTACTTCCCATTTTTTTCCTCTACTGATTCTCACCTACAAAAGAAAAAAAAAATCATGTCTATTGCAAAACCCAAGCTTGATATGAAGATATGGGTCAGAAGATTAGAAATCTTGTGGGAGATATAGAAAAGGAGAATGAGGGAGAATGTTTTTTAAAGAGAGGAAAGTGGGAAAGGCAAAATAGAAAGGTTGGTGTTGGATTGGATTAAAGTCTAGAATTGGGCTTCCAATTTTCAGGGGAGCAAGATCGGGACCGGCTTGCGAAGAGAATGATGGAGATGGAGATTGAGACGGACGAGAGAGGAAAGAGAAATTCTCAAAAGAATTTAACAAATGAAAGTAGTGACTAATGATGGGTTGAGGGTGTAAATAAGTTGCCTACCATAGATTTAAGGGTTAAAGCCAACTATAGTCCCTCTACTTTCCTTTTTTGTTCATCATCCTGCCTGTACATTGAATCGTTCAAAGACCTCCCTCTACTCTCCCAAAACATCCTACCATCCTCCTTCTACTTTCAATTTTCATACTAATTACCTCCCTCACTTAACGTCGATACTAACACCGTTATTGACATCAACACCATTACTAACTATTTGTCGTCAAACCTCACCCATTTATTATGTTAAAAAAAAAACCTCACCCATTTATTAATTTATTATTTTTTTTTATGAATTTCAATAGTAGGCTTTACAAGTTTCATGTCACACATCATGGCATCCACCAGGTCACCAACCTCTATTTGTCCCAAGACTAACAAAAATAATATATACACAATTTATTTCTATCAATGGATATTTGAGATGGATTTTTGATTTACTTGATCATTTAATTTTTTTACTTAAATAAAGTATAAATAAAAGAAAGTCATAAATTTGGGTGGAAATATTATTTAAATAAAATCTTAAATTTAAATTTAATAAATAAA